CCTGACGACTGGCCATTATTGTTCCAAACCGATCAACATCAGCCCCTTCGCTAAAGCTCTGCCCATCTATCATTTCACGAAATCCCTCTTCGTTTGAAACCATACTGGCATCTGACGGCTCATCGGCTTCATCTACAGCTGCAAAACCCCCCAAAAAAAACAGTTCTTTGAATCTAGCAACTTTCCCTACAATTATACCAACCCCAATAAGCAATTAATATAGCACGTAACATATTTAATCTAAAAAATCAGGTTATTCTCATCGCAAGAGAGACTAAAAGAAACTAATAATTTTTATATTTAAAACAATTTTAATTCTTGAACATGCCCTTGAGCGTAGCAAATAAACATGAATTAGCACCCATTTAACTTTGCCCAAATTCCCGCGTATACACAACTGTTAATTATAAAATTTTATAAATGTGATAGGTCCAATCCAAACTTCTTAACAACAATTTGATGAGCTCCTCTTTCCCAGGGTACTTTTGTGTTTTAGTCAAAAAAACTCTAATGTTTTCCCGGTTATAGACTGTGCCCTGAACACGAATGAAAGTGAGATCCCGGTCATCATTAAAAAGAGTATTTTTTCCACCTTTTTTATAATCAAACTGTCATTCGCTAAGACGTAATTAAAAAAGCTGAAATTCAGAAACAACTTGCAGAGGTTCTAAGTTTCTATTCCACACTGTAAATGTAACTTGTTTGACGGTCACTTATGAGTTTAAGGTTAGTGTGGGACAAATATATAACATTATGACGGTTAAAGCAGCCACTCATCTTGCAAGCGTCTCAAGCAACAGCACTCACTTCTTTTTCTCACAATCGTAGAGAAGCTCCAAAATAGCTACATGCTAATCTAAACTATCCCTAGTATTCAATTGCTGTTTAAGCACTGAAAAACGCACTGCCTTAGTTAATTCGCTCCTTAATAATGACATTTCAAGCTAGACATTAACATTTACAGAAAACTCTGTATGAACTTTAAAACTCTAAGTAGGAATACTATAAAAATATTTAAGGATGTTTTACAAGGCACGGGAAATCAGTATTACCACCCCCTGCAGGAACGCCTTCGTCTTCGAAATCTTTTGGAACGTCATCGGCGGCGACGCAAGCGAACTGCCGACCAAGCAAACGTGCAGATGGGTGTGCGGTTCTTTTGGTGCGGTACGATCCTTCTGCAAAACAATGTTACAGCAGCGACTACAAGGTTTAGTTTGAATCTAACACCTTAAATTTCACTTTTTTCTGCGTTTAGAAAACAATGTGTTAAAAGCTCATCAAAGTAAAGTAGAGGAATGTAGCAACAACAAAATTCCTTCAATCCTTTCAGTATAAAATTCGTTTACGAAATTTATTTAGCAAGATTATCAGAAAAAAAATACCTGGGTTTTGCTCCAACTCATTCCCATTAACGTTGCATGCTTTCAAACAATCGCCAATCAAAACAGTATCTTCAGTTTCACAAAGTCCAGCAGCTTTTCTTTTCGCAGCTTTTAACTCTCGAAGCTCTTTCCAGCCGCCTAACATCGTTAATAAAACTTTCCATATCAGCAACAGAACCTGAACTAATACTTCGACAATATGACAGAAAACCTTCCACTTCAAAACGGAAAAAAACTAAAAAGTTCAGAAACCTTCCTCATAGGTAAGTGCGGACTGTTCCCATGACAAAAGACAGGCATCATATCAAATAAAACCATCACAAGCGGACTGCCAAGAAAATCTAACGGCTCCCCTAAAAATCTTTCTCTTGTTGCAAAATCAGAAATTTCCAGAGACTCCCACAAAAACGTAATTAGAGTAACATAAAAAAACGCAAAACACGGTTAAACTACACTAAGTGGATTCAATTTCCAAATTGCATGTAATATTATTTTTTAACAGAAAAATTGAGTTTTATGAAGTCTAAACATGTCAACACACATAAATATTAATTGTTACCTAGCTCTGTAATGAACTGTCTCCGAAGACGAAGGTAATTCTCTTTCTTGTCAGATGGAACTACAACATCTACAAGATCTTCGCGTCTAATTGATTCCGTCATATGATACAGAGTGCTAAGAACAACTCGCAGCATCTCGTTGTCAGATAAGGTTGCACCTCGACGACTGCGTTTCCCTGTTTAAACTGATGATGTCGTACTGTACTTAGAGAATTAACCAGAAAGAATTCTAGTCGGGTATAAAATTGAAGCCGTCCAGAGAAAAAAAAGCTATTAACTAATAAAGACATCGATACCACTTTCAGAAAGATCAACATTAGACGCTGAACGACTATTTGAAAGTGATGATGACATGCTGACTGATGGCTCCATCGCATTAGGTCCTTCAAAAGGATCTTTAATCTCAGCTGCTAAAACACCACATAATGTCTGCAATAAATAATTAACTCTGCAAAAAAAAGTAGGCTTTTGCAAGACGCAAAAACATAATTTAAATTACATTAACCTGAAAAACTCCAGCTTCGTAAGCATGATATGCATTGAGGATCCCCTGAGACAAGCAGTTCTTTTCACATTCACTAACTTTGAAGCCTTTTTCTGCTTCGTTATCTTTCTTATATTCACCATCAATGGAAATCCTCTCTTCTTCCGCAAAATCCAAAAATGCTCCCTGAGCCAAGTACCCAAATGTTATTACAAAAAAATTTACATAAATAATTGGTCTCTACTCACCAAAAGACTATAACTTGTAAGTGGCTGACAGTTTTGCTACAAATAACCAGATATCTGTAGAAAACAAAAGAAAAAGAACTAAATGATATGATATTTCACACAATAATCTTAAGAAAAAATATTTCAAAAGAATACTCACTGAGCAAATGAATTGGTTTATCAACAACTGAAATATATATTAATTAATTTCATTACCTGTAACAGATAAAGCAAGCATCTAGCTGCACTAAGTCGTGTTTCCTTTGAAGAACTGTCCAATCGCTCGATATAATCAAAAAAAACATTATTTTGTAGACTTCTGGACAGATCACACCACTTTCTAGGCAGCTGTAAATGAAACTATGCGAAAACTTGATAATTATTTTGAAAAAAAATTAAAGTGATTTTACAGTAGAAAAAATAGATGCTGTCTCGGTGTAAATGATTACCAAGGTTAGAGAGCAGGTAGTTAACTGTAAGCAAAGTAAATATATAACCTGTTTTGAGTCCGCGTAATCACGATAACATTGAATATTTAGCGCAAACTCATTTACTTCGCTATACGTGTAAAGTTCTGCCAGCTCACTGGCGTGAGTGTCACAGTCTGTGTATTCAAAATCCAAATCGCTGGTTAACAAGCGTCCCTAGAATGAATTAATTTTCGAGTTTCCAAATTCTAAACCTAACGTTCGAAAAAGAGCTCTCCACAGCTCCTAAAATGACTTACCTGAGCTTCATTAGCGCTTTCAAAGACGGTGTCCGTTGGAAAGTCTTTCAATTTTGGCAAATGTGCAGATCTTCTTTGAGCTAAAGCCGAACCACTCATTTCAGTTGAAACACTGTCAGTCAAATCCAGATCACGGCGATTAAGCGTCACTTTACCCAACTGATTGACTTCTTCAGCAATTACTGAACCTTATAAGCCAGATATAATTTAAACATATAGAGCAAAAAAAGAGGAAAATGAATTTAGAAAACAGCAACGGTTTTGCAAACGCTGGTTAAAAAATGTTTCAACAAAACCAAAAAAGCCCTACCGAGACAAATACAGGCATCAGTTAACGAAGAAACAAAAATATTTTCAAAAATACCTTCGGATTCAATACGTCTTGGTGCTGGAGTAGATCGTGAAGCAGCGCGTAACTCTAACTCGGGGAGTTTAGGTTTCGAAATTCTGAGTTCATCTGACATTCCGTAAACTTAAATAGTAAAAAAATTAAAAAAAGCAACTAACTACATAATGAATAAAAATCCTTCAGTTCCAGCAACAGCACAGTCAAAAAATTTTTCTCAACTTTTGCACAAATCCCACCCGGCATTCACATTCACCGCTTTTGGAAACCCCAGCTTAAAAACTCTACTTTTATAACGACGACACCTATTTTCATCTACTGACATAACTCAATGATGTCGCGTGATAAAATTAAACTTTTTCTTGCAGCCGTATCCCAAAATGAATTCACTCTACAGTAATGCTTCGATGCGACTCTACTCTACCCTCCAAAATACTACCACAAGTATGACAAGTACCCAAGTAACCTTTAACTGCCAACTGCGGCTTAACTACCCACTAAAAAAAAAACAGAAGTGAGTAACATTCAGGGAAACTGAACTAGAATTGAATCTTGAAAGCTGTTTGGCTAAGTCTTAATTTCCTAGTCATTTCTGAGCAAACTTGATAAAACGCTGGAGCGATATTACTATGCGTCGTGAAATTAAACATAAAACAGCAGAAGAGACGCTAATACAACATTTCAAATCAAGTTGAGGCTTAAATTAAACTGAAAGAACTAGAATTTGACAGCAAACCCATTACACCATTGGCATCCAATGGAATTACTGCACAGGTAAGTGAGAGAAGAGGAAGCAGCTTAGTAATAGGCTCTTAAAAATACAAGTGATTAGAAGCGTACAAGTACCACTAGAAGTTATAAGAGGTAAGTAAAACTTTCAATGTAAAAAATACAGTTAGGAAAGTCCATCAACAAAAAAGTTTGATTCCGAAGAAAGTGATACCAATAAGCTTCCTAAAAGCGCTGTAAATCAGTCAGAAGTCAAAATTGCAGATATAAAGACCCAAATAAGTTTGAGTGACCTGTCCCACTAATGTAATAAGTGAACAGGATTGAAAAAAAATTAGCATATTAAGATGCACTGAAGGCCTAAATATCTTTATTCATTGAAAATGTGGAAATAATACCATCGTCTGCGTACGGCGGACGGATCGAACGTGACTCTTGAGACGTCCCTGGCTCTATAAAGTACAGTACATTTATTATATTTAGTTGAAAGATATATTAAGATTTACGGTTGAAAACTAAAAATCTCTCAACGAACCCTCAAGGTAGGAAAATTGATGACTCGATGATGAATAATTGGAGGAACTTCCGTAGTGATTTCTTTTGCTTCCATAACGATCATCACAACGTTCCTGCCGTGGATTTGATCCTAGTATAATCTCATTTGTCGGTTCTTCAACGTCACGATCTTTCAGGACGCTCATCGCTGTAACGAGTTAATCTCAGTAAAACAAAAACTTACGATTGGAAAACTTCATTGGTATAAAGACAATGCTCTGTGACCTCAAATTATAACACTTAAGTGGCAGAAAAGTGGACACGCAAAGCTTGAACAAATACTTATATCTGCATTAAGAAGTCAAAAAAAAAAAACCATTTTTAAAGTATAACAGGTATCGCAATTCTGGATGAAATGCGTGAAGGGTGGTAAAAGCAAGCAACACACAACGGTAAAGAGCTAGAAATATCATTACTAACCACATGAAAAAACCGCAGCGACTTATACCTATTTCATCAAATGTTGCAAGCTGTTGCTTTATTCGTAAAAAGTATTCGCATTTACTCCACTTATTCCAAACTGCCAAATAATTACAGTTTTAGAAACTTTAATATACCGAGTACAGAAAAAAAAGGGCACGAATAAATAAATGAATAAACAACTGTGAATACTCGCCTTATAATAACAGTGATAAGAAGTACGACCACAAAGGTGGAAGAACGTATAATATAATCATTCAACAACAATATTGTAACTTATAGCGGTGAAACTATTTGAGTAAAAGCAAAATTTAATAAGTCTGAAAGCTATAGGAAGCTAGCCCAGCGGTAAAGCGTACCACTGTCTCTGTTACATCCCCGGAACAATGTATAAACCTTGGCATTTTGCCAATCTCCCTATTACAACGTCATTTAGTCAAAGACTATTTCGCTGAAGTCATTCCCATCGTTATTTGCACGTCTCTTGGATAGCTGTTGTTGCTACACGTGCCACAAAGAGATGCGCGTAGAGGGAATGAAGTTTCCCAGTGGCTTGCTACGAGAGTTGTGCGAAATTCAGCAAACTCATAATGATAGATTCTTGTCCTTATAGGTATGAAAAATTCAGAAAGTCTAAGGTTTTACTTTAAAGGAGTTCAGGGTGCTCAGGACACAAGTACAACGGTAGTATTTGCCTGAATGCCGTTATATTTCATGACTTCGTCCGTAAAAGGTTACACAGTAAGATGCTTCATCAGCTCGAAGATTTGCTTAATTTCTTAATGGGGAGGGAAACAGAAAATGAACCGGCGGAAATTGGTCTCATATTTCACTTAACATCTTTCTTAGACATTTCAGCATTCTTAAAGGTTGTTTTTAACATGCGCTACTGTTTTCAGCAGCAGCAAGAAGAAATGGAAGAATTTGTTCCAATGGCAAATAATGACTAAAAAACTACAACAGTGTGGCTTGAAAAATTTGTACTTTGCACGGATGTTAACATAGGCATTGGGGCAATGAGTTCTCGTTTTGAAGACCTTTGAACTTTTGTAAATAATAAGTAATGTAGGCTGGAGTGTTTAGGCAAAAGGGTACGAGGCGGTTTTTTTTCCGGAAACTTGTGTTTAAAAAACGAAAATTCAGACATATTACTGCAATTACGTTTGTTTTGACCAAAATTACCAAAAATTGTTCACGGGGTTTTGGTGTGTCTAGTCGTTTGAGAAGCATTCTCAAACAGTTTATAATCTAATAGACGGCTAAATTTATTTTTTTTTATCTTTCCTAGACGATAACGAATAATAACAGTTGTCTATAACCTCTTGGAGAATTTGATAGACCGTCGTGGTAAGATGTGCTTTAACTTCTTATTTTTCTTCTCTGCGTGAAGATCAGAAGTGGAGTTGTTTAATACTGGAATAACTCATTAAAAATGAAGAAAGCAATCCCTAGCTATTGGTATTATTGGCTTATTTTTTTATGCGCAACTTTCAGGCAGAAGGCGATATTTTAAGTTAGAAGTCCACATTACTTTCACTCAAAGGTTTTTTGCTTTTTCAAAATTTTACCCTAAAAAACTTTCATTTGTCTTCTTTTAGTCATATTTGATCACCTGGAAAGAAGGAAAGAGGTAACAAGTTGTCAAATGACGAGATGAGGAAAACTGGTAGCAAAATCGTGAAGTATCTGCGGCCGTAAATGCAAAATGAAAGTATTATTTATTTGAATACTTCTTTCAGTTAATGATAAAAACAGCGCGTTTAAAAATAATTTGAACCATAATTTAATAGTTGGCAGAAAAACTATTTTAAAAATTAAAGCTTTAAAAAGTGTGTTTGATATAACTGTGATCGAACAGAAGGGGAGAGGTCGGGGGTTTGTGTTCAGAAAATAGTTGAGAAATAGAAGATAAGGAGTGAACTAGAGGGAAGTACGTTCGGGCGTAACTTGAGGTTGTTGAAGTAAGGAGGATAAAGCGAATCGATTACATTGATTGGTTGCAAAGCATTCCACAATGAATGAAAGACAATTTAACGTTTGTATCTTTGAAACGACGTTTGTATAAACCTAGAAAACGCCTTTTCACATCACTTCAAATAAATAATAATTAGTGCTGTTTAGCTTCTTGTTTTTCTTTTGATCATTTAAAAGTAATTTGACAATCACATAGTCCGTAGGGCCATCTAAAAAAGTAATACAATATTATAATTCCCAAAAAAGGTTATAAGGTTTACCAAAACAACATCGGTCAACGTAGAACTTCTTGCAGACGTTAATGCGTGTGCGTTTCTGCACTACTGCAAAGAGTTAAAGGATGCGTAGGATGGATACATACGATGGATACATCGGTGGCCTGCTGGAGAAGAATGGGATGCTTTTAAAGAGAGTACCGATTTAGCGTTATTAAAAATGGCGAGGCAAGTTCTAGCTACAGCATTCATTTTGTTTCATTATTTGTCATCTTGTAATAAGCAAATCGGACCGTTCTTTACTACTGTTTTAACGAAAAGAATTTTTTTACAACTACTAATAGCACACAAAAACTCTAAAAGGAATTTTAAAAACTTGAGGTATCAGTAGTTGAAGAGCAATAAACTGGTCAAAAATAAAAATATAACTATCACAGAATGGTATGCAAAGTTGAAAGAAATTGACAAACTGGCCGCGAAAAGACCATTGTTAAGCTGCAATCTTCTAGCGTTTGCCTAGATTAACTGGTAAGTTGTAGAAAAAAATTCTTAAAAATTTTTGCATGGTAGTGCTTCATCTTGTTTCATCTATTTAACTGTCTATTCAAGCACTAAACTGATCAGATCTTACTGCTGTTTCTCTTTTTAAAGCCAACACAACTTCAACAATCTCGCTTGCAATTAAATTTTCACTTGTTATTAAAAATCTCGTGATCTACTTGCAATTTCTACACATTGTTATTGGGAGTCGACTCGAAATATTTCAGGAGATTGCAAAAATGCTTATATTTATGGAGGCAACAATTTAAAACTAAATTCTTCTGAATTGTTTATTAAGGTGGGTATGTACTATTATCAAAGTTTTTTTGAAAAAGCTGCTACTCTGCAGAACGTTTCACAATACGCTAAGGACTGACGTATCGGCAAACATGTTTCTGGAAAATTTCTTAAATTTCCAAGTGAAGAAATGACTGGTCGCCGAAAAACACGGTGACCCCGGCCAAACGTGTTTAACATGCCAACATATCCATTTATCTTTCTCCTCACTTTTCTTCTACTTTTAATTTGCAGAGTACATTACCTTTTCCTACCATTCATTGATGCTTTTCAAATTCGTCCATATTGTACCTCGTTAATGTTGGTAGAAAAATTTTGCTGTACAACTTTATTTCTTTCTGAATCACTCTTTCTTCCACCAATATTAGGCAAAAAGACAAATGCGATACATAACAATAAAATGTAAGTAAGTGTATTTGTTCAATCAGTTTCTCGTTGTACCTGCATAACTGCGACATCTTACCTTCAATAATTTACAGGTAAAGCATAGAAAAGTTGCATAGCACTGACAATGGCCAAAATATAGGGTAATTGATGATAAACTTGACAGTATTATCAAATAATATACAAAAGAGGAAATTTTGTTCATAAATCACTTTCTATCTAAGATTTGCATGACACTTTGACATACATAATTTCTTAAATGATACTGATACCACAATATTTTCACAGCTATTTTTTTGAGAAAAATTCAGATGAGGCGGCTGGAGGAAAATTTTTCATAAAATTCTTTAGATTAAACAATTTTAACGAGTTCCTCATAAGTGACAATTAACAGGGAAACAATTGAATTCAGGTTACTCCCCGCAACCTTAGTGATAGAAAACATTGGACTGGAACGATAAGAGTAAAAGAATTGAAAAGGTATACAAGGAACATAAAAAAAAGTCTTCAGAAACTTTATATGCACCTAAATTCAAGTCTTTTATCCTAGAACTTCAGCAACACTATTAATTTAGTATTTTTGACATTATTACATCATTTTTTTTACTAATTTATAATCAAGCAGATGAATTCGGGTACATCTGGCTTATCGTCAACTGTTAACTGGAAACAATTAATGTTTGGCCGTTTTCATCTAAAACATTCCCCGTTATTACTTAATATATTTTAGATAACATTGACAAATCTTTTTGTTTTTTATCTTACTAACATATTTATAAAATGTTGCTTGAAAGTCCATCGATAAATTCTTTTTTTTTATAATTAAAAAATCTAGTTTTTAGAAAATGGGATTTTCTTCATAATTTTTTGAAAAATTAAAAAAGAGTGATAAAATATTTTTAAAAAATGTTTTAGAGTCCAAAATCGAGCTCTTTTAGTGACGTTAAACTCGACTTGCCTGTTTGTAATCTGATTCAGCTTTAGGGTCGAGTTATCATATTATCTCTGCAAAAAAAAAGAGAAATTTGTTAGGTTCTTGTGATTCACGTCAGACTTTTCTACGTAAAAGTGAAATCTAACCTTGTCGTTCCGTTTAAAGCTAGAGAGGATTGTGGCTGCCTAATTAGTTGCCCTTGGATAATTCCCGTCGTCATATTTTCTGTCAACGCTTCAAGCGGATGACTTGCAGCATGAACTTTTGCGAATGTAGTACCTTGCAGAGCTTGAGGAACCCTGAAATTATTCTTTTGCCATAAGAGTGTCAACTCTATTCCAATAAGTATTTTCAATGATTAAACGATAAAAGTAATTTAATTACAGAGCAAATTAACAAATCTGACCTGCCAGTATACTGAGTTTTCAGAAATCGTGTTCGATAACGTCCGCCAATTCGTTGCTTACGTGGTTGAACTGGCCGAACAGTACCTGCAGTGATCTATTTACTCAGTTTTTCCTTTAAACTTGGTAATGTTTTCTAGCCCATAGTTTCATTTTCATAAGTTTATATATCTCAGTATTTCCAGTCACCTTCATCCTTACAATTCGCACTTTCTATGTATTTCTCTCCTCACTATTCCTGAGTGAGTTTTAGAAACCATTTCTATGTTATGCAGGATATTTACAAAGTTATAAACGTTCATGTCCTGTCAGCTTTCAGATGATTTGTTCTTAGATGCATTTAGTAATGATTGATTGGTATGACTTACGAGAACGACGGCACTGAACGCAGAAGATTCTGAGTGGTTTTGCTGCAACGACATTATTCCTAAAATTATTGAGTAGACGATAAAGTTTGCTTTTCTTATGAACAAAAAGGTTTGATTAATACAAATGAAGATAACCTGTAATGTTTCGACGGCCATGCCGGGCACTGTCCTTCTTTAAGTGCAAATGCCGTCGACGGATTAAACTGACATCTTCCAGATGATGGATCAAAGTGAGCTATCTGAAGTTTTGGTTTTAAGTAATCTGATGTCGTAACACTAGGATTATTTGATATGTCTGGACTCACAACGTTCCGGATATCAATAAATACACAATTCACTGGCGACACGATTGTGCTTCAGAAACTCAATGCAAAGATTAGCGCTAACAGCTTCGCGAAGTTCTACTACTTTTGATTTACAAGAATTATTCTTTGGTTCACTCAGATTTCTAATTTCCGGCTGCTGACTCCCTACCAGGTAAATCTTACTTTAAATTTTCAAAAGACAGAACAACTTATCTACATCTTTCGTTAATTATATAATGTTTAGTCTTCTGGTAGACAATAAAGATACTTTACTGTTTCATACGTCTGATGCTCCCAACTGGTTTCACTAAACAGTTTTGAAAAAGTAAGCTTCATACTTCATTTTTTAAGCCCTAAAATACTTCCATTTTGAACTACTTCTAATAGTTTAACAGTAACTTACAGCACAGTTGAATTCATGGCAAGTTCGTGCACACTGGTCAACAGAAACTGTCATTGCGAAATGTGAGAATGTGATACGTGGTTTTGGCGGAGATGGCGATGAAAGATAGAAGATGGAAGCGAAGCATCCTACGATGGTACAATTAAACTAATAAAAAAATTAAAGAAACTTTCAACAATTGGTTTAATTAATTTTCTACTCTAGTTTCCAGTATGTGATAAAAAACGTTTTTGCCGACGGTGCAATCATATACAAAAGCAATTATCAAGCAGGCCACTAACTTCCAGTTCTCAGGTCTGCTGCAACATCTTCCTTCTTTAATGCTGGTCGTTTTGGAGGAGGTCGTGTTGGCTGAAAGATATTATTAAATAAGGTGATGTTTGTCTGAGTTAAGCCTCACAGATTGAATAATGAGTGAAAGGATACTCTAGGATAAATTTGAGGTGAAGGAGTGATTTGTGGTAGAGGTGAAGGCGAAACTTTAGTACGGGGCGGTTCAGGTGTCGTTACCTAACGAAACGCAATACAGTCATAATTGTAATTCTATTTTTTTTGCTACTACGACTACAAATTCGCATTTTTTTGAGCAAAGCGCAAAACGTGCTTGCTTCTGTGTTAGAATACTACAAATCCATAAAAGTAAAGATATTGCTGATTCTACTGTTGGAAAGACTTACAGGCCGAGAAGGATGAGTATTTGGCTTTTCTTGCTGCCTGCAACAATTTTTCAATACAAGAAAAAAATCTAGAACCTTTGTATAATGCAGCAAAAAGCTTGCTGTTGAAGACTTTATGTTCTCAAAAATAATTTTTAGAAAGTTCTACAGGCTATATTGTTCAGCGGTTGAAATTTACCAACCAAAAGTTACCTGTGTGAGAATGCAGGTGGAGGTTGCGCTGGTTCTGTAGGTTTTGCGACCTTTGATGGACGAGGCTGCAAATCACTTTTTATAAATACGGTTAGAGAAAAACCACAAAAGTTGGATAAAAGCTGCCTTGGTTTTAGATGACTCAAAACCGACGGTGGAAGATACCTCTGTAATCTGTTTTGTTGAGCCCGAACTGGTTGGCGTCAAAGCATTGATTCTGAAATATCTTTTCAATCAAAGATTCTTATTACACATTACAAGACAATTACACATTACTTTCACCTTGTTAAATAACTTCTAAAATTTTGATCTTGTAACAAGGTTATGGTAGTAAACTCTAAGGATTTTGACGGATGTGAACTGACGAAACCCTTATGAACACTTTCTTCGGGTTTTAGTTCTTATATGTTACTTTGTAGCCGTTGGAAAATGTCAATCTTGCAATAACAGTTGTTTAACAAAAAATTTTCGAAGGAGAAAGTTTTTTAATGTTTTTAATTTGAAAATACAGTAAAGAAGGCGAAGCGAAAGATCAACGAATGGTCAGTAGAACTTTTCAGTTCTTGAAGACGTTTGAGTATTAAATTAAAAACTGACTTGTTGGTTGATTCGATGGTTTCCTGCGCAGATTCAGAAGACTCCTTCGATTTCTCTTCAGATTTATCAGATCCACTTCGATATTGTTTTGGTATAAAGATTTCTTTTTCTAGAAATAATTTCTATCAAACTATTTTATCAAAACTATAACTCTTGTATAATGTTTCAAGCCTATTTTTGTTAGATATTTTTCGCTCTACTGATTGGACGCTTAAAGATGAAAAGTCTTCGTTCAATCGACTCTCAAAAATGTATCACTCAAGTAGCGGTAGAAATGAAGACGTCATGGCAATGGATTTTGATACGATATTTTCTAAAAAATGGCTTTATACCGTCATTGAGGTCGACAAAATTGTCATCATATCCACTAAGGTCGTCAGCAGGACTAACAGCTATATCTGCAATTTCTTCTATAAATCTTATTATTATTTACCAGCTGTAAAAGTGAATATAAGTAATAAAAGGAGACTTTTTTACTAGCTTGATTAAATTTGACGTTGAAAGATTTGTGTAACCTGCATTAAAGGTTTCGATGTTATTATCAACCACTTCGTCAAAAACAGCACGTTGAGTACCATTTCTTACTGGACCAAGTGCTAAACAGTTAATGTTTAAACCTCTATCACATTCTTATAACCTTATTAGTTGACAGATTTTTTCGTCTTTTTTTTCTCCTCCAAAAAAACTGGCTTCAAATTGTTAAATTCTCGTATTTTTTTGTGCTTGTAAATATATGAAAGAAAGATTTTTTTTTTACTACTTACTTACGTATCTTTGTTGCTGTTCAATAATGTTTTCATTTTTTATGCCTCCTTCGAACCTGTAAACAGTAAGTAAGATTGTTGATGAGATAGCAAAACGATTGTCGTTTGTAACTGTTATTGCAGTTGCTGAACTTTGTCTTTAAAAAAGGTGTACATTTTTTTTTTTTATCATCTATCTTTATGGTCAATTGCTAATGAACCATTAAGGGGAAAAGAACAATGAATGATACTGTGTATCAAAAAAAGCAGTATCAAAAAGAAAAAAAAAAAGATACAGCAATTTTTACATAGACCTATAAGTTTCATCAACCAGACGAATTGCTGCAGAATATGGTTTATAAGGAATTATATGTCGCTTTGTATTACTCATCGTCGTCGTCGGCATTTGACGACTGTTTAACACCAAATTCCGTCTATTTTAAGCTACCAATTTTAGAAGAAAAAAAAAAAATATCTTTTTGAACAAACTTTAATGCTTATGAATGGGTACATACACTTTTTCAGCAATATTCTAAAAAAATTTTTTAATAGTAACTTTTTTCTTAATCTTATTTTCAATTGATGAATAAAAAATCAGTTGCCATCTATAGAAACATTCAAATGTAAATTGAATACTGTATACGTGGAGATTACACTGTCAAAACTTCATTCATTACAACCAGTAAATTTATAGTTTACTTTGATAAAAATTTTGATAAAAATTTATTTTTTATTTGACCATATTTTGTTGTTAATTTGTTGCAGAAATTTTAGTTTTTTAAGAAGAAAATAGCATAAATAGACAGAAAAAAATTTGTCTTATAAAATTTTAAAACAAAAATGATGACTAAGAACTACAAAAAAAAAAAAAGCATTTTTCTTTTTTTGTTGAAAATTTTTGAACAAAAAATGAAAAAAAAGGTGCTAACGAAAAAAAAAAAATAATGATTGAATAATATCAAAGAATAGAAAAGTTTTTTTCTTCTCTGCTGTGTTATTATTATTAACAAAAATGACAATTTTGAAAACTATGTAACACTTTTTCTCCTGCAATTTGTCACCACAAAACAGTTGATATAATACAGAAAAAAAAAAAAGAAGTAACTAAAAGCAAAACTTTTTTTTTTTTCCATTTACAATTACAATTCTTTTATCTTCTTCTATTTGGTAGTTTCAGTTCGTACTTTTTTTTGCTAAAGCTCTTTTTTTTTTTTTTCGTTTAGACTAAGCTACTTTCAAAAACTTTATAGTAGTAAAGATGAAATTGCCTACTCGTCACTTTGTTGTGCTGCAGTCAGAACCAATAGTGTTGCCAATCCGTACCAAAGATTCAAATACATCCTGAAACAAGGGGATAATGACAGTATAAAAAAAAAAAAAAACTTTTCTTCATTACGTCAAAACGTTTTTGCACAAACAACAACAAAAAAAAAACCTTATGACCCGAAATGCTGACTTATTGACCACTGAGAACAGACGATGTTGAAAGCAAATAAGAATGAATACAACAAGAATAAAAAGACAGTTGTTTTGTTGAACTGAGTAGGCAGCAGTATCAATGAAAAACACCACTTAGACAGTATAGATTAAAATTACTGCAAAGTATCATCAGACCAAAAAGTTAGTTAGTTATTTTTCATTTATGAAAATAAACTATTTGGTGAGTTTAAAAAAGGAAAAAATATTTGATAAAAACAGTGAACGCAGAAACATAAAGAAGAAATTAAACGAGAAGAAAGTTTGATATAGGAACAGTTTAGACTTTCAATTATAACTGTTTCTTAAAAAAAATACTTGTTGAAACGTTATTTATCTGACAGTGGTGCAAATACATATAACTGTACATTTAATTTACAAATATAAACACATATATATATATATATACAAATTTTATGTAGAAATGTATTTTGTAGAATAATTGTATAATTGAGTACAGCAGAAGTGTACAGATACAATAAAAAATAATAAAGGGAGCGAGTTGATGTGATAAAAGACAAAAAAGAAGAAAATTTTTTTTTCCTATTTAAATGGTTTTAACTTTAAAAAGAAGTTTGTCACTCAAAAAAAAAAAAAAAAAAAA